TTTTTCTCGCATCAACAGTTTCAATATTGTAAATGTTTAATGTATGCACACGTGAACAATATTTTAATGATCGAAAATCTCCTATGGATCTAATATGCCTTTCTTTACATGCACCGTGACAGTAATTATTTGCCGGAGAAGAAATACAACGAATACAACGTGAACGTGGCATACGAGTAAAACCAGGTGGACAAGATAGAACACATTCATTGATTTCATCTAATATAAAACCAGTACCCAAGAAGAACGACGTACATTCTTGATGAGTGATACATAATGAACCGCCAGCCTATGAAATACAATTTCACTTAAAATGTGAAACAATCGATCTGTAGAGTAGAATAGAGCAACAGTAAAAGACTATACTTTTTGTTGTTCAGTTTATACTAAATATTATGATTATTAACCTACTCGTACGATGTTATGGTAATAATGAACTACAGAAGAGTTCGATAAAGAGAAAGAAATATGTATATATAGAAAGAGAGAGAGACATTTATAAGATGCAAGTTGGCGAGAAGAAAAAAGATAAACTTAATAAAATGAAGACAGTATACTTGATTTAATATTGAGAAATGAAGAAAGTCAACAGAAGAAATTCATATCTTTTGAAACGACGTCGCTCTTCAATCAGAACTGAATCAAGAAAATGTTGTAAGTCAAAAGTAATTTTTATTCTCTAGGCTGTATCGAACTTGTAATAATAAAATGTAATATTTACGAGCACTTTATCGATCAATGAATGTTCATGATCCGTTTCGGTTGAAATCTTGTTGTATAAATTTCACGTAATGCTCTTCAAACTGTAAAAATTGAAAGATCACTATTTGGAGCTAATTGGTCAACGCATTAGTAAATAGCATTTCGATTGTAAAATCGAACATAACAAGTTCATGTTCCACTCCTAATGCTCAACTACATAAAAACTTCATTTGATTTCGAAAATACGAATAAGATTTTTCACGTAAATTAGTCCGTTTCCCAGCTACTCTGTTACCAGAGATGTCATAATCGTCTATTATCACAGGGAAAACATTGAAAGAATAGGAAACTATAGTTTACTTTCAACATGTTGTCAGCACACTTTTCAACACATAATCCAGTTGCATAAATTCTCATATTTCGGCAAGCATTACATATTAAACTTGACGTAACTGTTATATTGCTATAGTGACATCCTCCGACACATTGCTCAGGGCAGCAAACTGTTTCTGATAAACAATTTCCTTGGCAGTTAGGTGAACACCTTTGTTGACATTGCGTTGGTGACCAACATGCCGATGGACATGTTGGACAAAAAGCGCAATTATCGCGATTTTGTCTCGATATCACCTGTGTCTTTTTTGCTTCCATGATATCATTCCAACGTAAGGATTCTGCATAGCATAACCGAGCATTTCGAGCTATAATTACGTTTCCTTGACGTATGTTAATTAATGATGTTAAACCAAAATCTTCTAGGAAAACATTGTCCATCACAATCAATGAATAACCATGATATAAATCTTTTCCATGAATAATTGATAGGCGAGGAAACATTGACGAAAATGAATGCATAGATGAATAACCTAATAGCATATAGCCATGAATCTCACGAAGATTAGGAAATTGTATTGCGGTTGTTGCGGAGGTATTGACTAAAAAGTGCATTGGAGCATATATGACTGAGCCAAGGCTTATTTCACAGGACGATAACGTGGGAGCATGAAAACCCCGCTTTAATTCCAACAATGTAACACGAATATCACCACATACTGAAAAAAAGAAACATCCATTTTGCTTTTCACACATTAAATAATTGTTAGGAATTTTCACAACACTCGCGATCTCCTATGCAACACTTGTTTTCACGAGAGATAATAAATCGTCTTAGAACTAACATTGTTTCGTTATTGATATCGATTTCCATGCATAGTACTTCATTTATATTACATTATGATAAGGAGTGTCTTGCATGCTTTCCACAACGATAAAAGAATTGTTTTGAAGATGGTTTTTGTAGGAAAACTCAAGATAAATCGATTTTTTCAATTTAAATGATCAACGATTAGTTTTCTATCTGGAAACAATTGCTACCAAACACACTAAAGATATCAAACTGCTTTTGCAGTGATTTCGAAACTTTCGAGATAGATAATTAATAAGGAACAGGGCAAAATTCATAATTGATGCCTAGAATTCAAACACTACTTTTCACTAAACAGGCGAATCAAAAATTTCTTTTTTTCCGCTTCCGCTCAAGTAAACATAAAATTACTTAGCAGATTTCTAAAACTTCATGTTTTTCTTTGTTTTATTAGAACTTCTGAAAACCCTGTTAAACATCAGCGACATATCATTTACTTAATCCAACTAACAGTTATGATTGTCATACTTCCTATTCACAAGATAATTATTTTAGTCGCTCTATTTTGAAAAGCATTTCTTCTGCACTATTTTTTATTAATCTCTAAGAATTGTGCAGGCTGTAATGAATGACAAAAGAAACGTCAGAAACGTGTGTAATGAAAATACTTAAATTTGCATATTATAGTTTCTCAACACTTGTTGAGTTCGTACGCCATCGCCGTGAAGATGCAAATTTCCACACTACTTTAATAGATTATACTTCGCGGAGTAGACCTACTCTGTAATATAGTGAGAAGAACGTGTGCACTCTAATGAATTTCTAAAAAATCTCTAATTTATTACCTTTAACACGTGGCTTAGCAGTAGCTACAGTGTCAACAGTTTCATTACTTTTGGCGAATGTTAATAAAACGTTAAAAGATAAAATATAAGTAATAGAATATAATATCAACTGTTTCATCTGAAATAAAAATGAAAACACAAATATTTGTTAGATTATTACAGAATAATTTATCATCAATCCATTAAAAAAAGCCGAGAAAATATTTATTTTTAGTTAAGAAAACAAACGTAAAAATTCCCAATGCCAACTGATGTTATAAATTGTATTTTAAAGAATAATATTCTCTTTTCTTGAATTATAAATAAAAGAAATAACAAATGGATATGAAATTTAAATAAAGAGCATTGAAGAGATAAGGCCATAAACCAAGTCTTAATGTCGAGATGTTTTCAGCCTCGGTTTCGTTGTAGTTGTAAGCACATCATTAAAAAAAGCATCCGTATCCCAATCATTCTTTGCTTGAGTTGCCGGCTTATCTTGTACCCAAGTAGTTGGATTTGATACAGCAGAAGATTTCGTTGCTGTCGTCATAGTTGTAGTCGTTTTTGCTTGTTGAGATGATGCTGACGCAGAAAAATCTTCCCATTTATCTTCTTCAATATCTAACGTATCACCCCAATCATTTGATTTGATTTCACCCCATGGTGTTGCATCGTCTTCATCATCATTATCATTTGTTTTATTAAAGTACGAAGCTAATGTTGAGGACTGTTGAACCTGCTTGATTACAAGAATGAAAAAAGAATAAGAAAATGTTCTCTTGTTTTTTTTATTGCATACTTGATCTTGTTTGTCTGATTTCGTTTGCAGTTTTGGTGCTGCTTGAGTTTTAACTGATGCTTGTGCATTGCTTGCCTCACCTATAATATTTATATTATAAGTAGACTTTATTTGGTGCTAAAGAAAAAAAATTGAGTGCGTGTCGTTTCCTATGCTCTTTTTCTATAAACGTCAGTTAAATTGAATACGGCAAGCGAAGAAAAAAAAAGGAAAAGAAACGCCGCCAGCCATTTTCAACTATGTTAAAAAGCACTTTTAACAGTTAATGGCAGGTTGTGTTTCAGTCAACCAGATTAAATTAAAGTTCTTGACGTTTCTTTTTAATTTTCTTGTTAAAAATGTTTTTCTTTTAACTAAGAAACGATATATGTTAGTTTTATCGTAAATTATTTCATTCAGACAAAATAGTGTTTCATAATTTTTTCTTGTTATAAGTATGTCACTATTTCCAATGAAACAGATCGATAGTTAAAGTAAACATCAATTATATCATTGTTGACTAATGAAAAATGAGAACTTCTATCATTATGCATCGATAGGACAGTTCAAAATTACCCTTGTCAAAATAAAAATAAATACAATTATAGACTGTAACGAAATCAAATCGATCTTTTCTCTAGTAATCTAGAGATCTTGCAGGTTATTATTCGACAATATTTGGCGCATCCATTTGTTCGAATTTCACAAAGCGAAATCCTAGATTTTCCACGGATTATACCTTATCTCTAGATTTTGCGACCATGATGACCCTTGCTTGCTGTATGATTGTTTGCATGACACTTTTAGAAATTCATAAGCAACATACATTTTCAAGTCAATTTCTTCGTTGGTCACGAAATATTTTCATAGGATGTCAATCTAAATCTCTCACGTTTCTACCATCACGCAATTTTTATTTCTAGTCTCATAAAAAACGATTATGCAAGTACATTCCAAAAGAAACAACCAACACATTAACGTTGAAATATACAAAATTAAAGCAAAAAAAAAGATTGATAAAATTCAATAGCCTCACCGTGTTGTGCAACACTAAATTAATTATACGAATCAAATTCAAAAGTTCTATTAATAAAAAAATTTTCTTTGACTCTTGTAAGTGTATTGAAAACAAATGACTAGATTTGATTGATGTTTGTCTCTCTGCGCCGATCATTTTTCCAATATCCTGTAGAACGGAACTACTCTCATATACTTGCCGAATATATGACTTTCTTGTTGAGAAACAAATGTGCGTTTCTTAAAAATAGCTTTAAAGCATTGAGAAACTCATTATTATGATCGAGAAAATATTATTGGCGATTGTTTCTTGTCATGCATAGTTCTTGAAAATAAAAAAACTGATGTTTGCACATATGAATAAAACGATATACGATTGGCAAAGCAGTACAATGCATAGAAGTAAATTTGTCAAATGATCGGGTTCGATCTCATCAGAACTAGTTGTAGCGCGAAAAAGAAAAATAGAATGATTCATTATCAAACTTCCTTCAAGGTGAAAGAGAAATATCGTTCAAAACAACGATTTAATAATTAATGCGGTGCGAAGCACTGCATTCATGTAGTCCGTCGCGAGTTTTTTTTTCCTTTCTTTCTAACTTGAGTGCGCATAAAAAATTAGAGCGCGATGATCTAGAGAACCGTCAATAATAGAAAATCCATGCGAACTAGATATGAGAGTTTATAGATCGAACCTGTTACATCTTTTTTCCAATTCAATACTACGCTTCGTTCGCCTAAAAAATCATTCAAAAATGATGATTTTGTAAAGTTTTAATCATTAGAGTTTCGAGATAATTAAAATGATGTCATCAAGCAATGGTAGCCAATAATCTATTTCTTCACATCTGATCTAAGATAGTGAATCATTGAAATAATTTAATGTTCAATCAAAAGCATTCTCTAGGATTATGGTGACAATCACAAAAAAAAACGTTATCTCAGCAACGATTTCTATTATGATTACTTGAGAACTAAAACAAAAATGTAATGATTTTGTGAACGAGGAATTTTAAGATTGCTTGTTCCTTTTCCGTTAAATTTTATTTTTTCGTGTGCTCAACTCGTGCTTCGCATCGCATTTCGTATACGAGTGAAACTCGAATACCATCTAGTTTATTGTTCGATTCCGCCTATCTAGCGCATCCCTTGTATAGTCTTAGGTTTGCCTAAAAATAAGTATCTCGGGTTTTAAACCTCCTATGTCCACTGACAGCAATCAGTGCTACGACAAACGAGAGAAAAAAAGATAGCGGACGGAAGAACACTCCAGTAAATATAGTTGTAAGTCAGTAATCACCTTTCTGCTTTACCCTGGCCTCGGATTGCAAGTTTTTGAAAATGTAGAAATTAGCACAGGATCAAACTTTAAAAATACAGGAAAATGTGTAAAAAATCAGAAAAAAATAGGATATCGAAAATTCGTTGTTTATATTCGAATTAAACGTTGTTTTAAACTTTTCCTGCATCAACTCAACATATGCACGAAATTTTTGCCAATATTTCATTTTAATTCTTTCTTAAATTAAATTAAATGAGCCAGACACAATTAAATTCAATCGAAATATGTTTATTTACATATTAATAAACTAATACAAAATAAATCAGGATGTGGGTAATGGTTTGTATTGTGTTTATCTCACATCAACCTACACTCATACCGAGTATGAAAATTTTCAAAAATCGCATTTTGAGTTTTTTAACCAAGAAACGTTTTCAAAAAATACCAATGACAGATCGTTAGTTGTAGAATTTTAGTCTCAACAAGCTGGGCTATTTTGTTTTGACTTTCGTAGCTAAGGACAATGTAAACTCTTGTACACTTTCTAATTCAATTTACCGTTTATGAGCTTCCATACAGATGTATCAATTTCGTTTTTGTATATAACGATTAGTTACAAAGAAAAGACTATTACTAATAAAAATCAAATAACTCTGATCATGTTAAATGTTTCAAAATTGATGAAGAAAAACTTTACCTCAGTGTTACTAAAAATGTCACGTTGTTTTCTTGCATTTTTATCTAAGCAAAAATAGTTTGGAGAAAACGATTTTAGTGTTTTAAAACCTGGTCAAAAAGCACTACAAAGCTAACTCGAGAAGTGTTTCACTTGGAGAAATAGTTGCAGAAGAAACTGCAGCTTATTAGTGGCCCTGAAGAAAAGAGTCTTTTTATGTCACAGTCAAGCAACCAAAGCTCCTCTCTATAACCAAGGGACTTAATCCAAAAATAGTCATTTTATGGCATAAGCATATCATGACAAGTTGCATCAAATCACATTTGAACGAACTTTCTAACTCACACAATTTCCAAGATAATGAAAAACAAAGTGTGTCAAAAAAAGGTCACAGCGTTACTCTTGAACAAAACCATTTACGTAACTGCATATGATAGGCAACAATAAAAGCTTTTAAAAAACATACAACTATGCATAAAGACTATTTTACTTTGTTTGAATATCTTTACTTAAAATAGTCAGTTATTTTCATTTTGTCCGTTTGATAATGTGAAAATAAATTGTAAATAAAATAGTCCCTGCAAAAAAATTCTAAGAATGCAAAAGAATCAATAATTATCGAATAGATTTGTTTAAAAAACATGAAAATTATACTAAAACAAGAGCGTTTTTTAGCAATTTTCTACTTTTTTTCATTTCTATAGGAAATACAGGAAAATTCATCGAAATATAGGAGAAAAAATAGGAATTTTTTTAAATATAGGAAATATAGGACGAATCCGAGGCCAGTTTACCATGTTTTTTTTAGGTTATGAAGTTACGAATCGTACACCCGTCATATCAATTTTTCGCTTTATTTATCAGTGTTTGCATTTTATACGAGTGTTTTTAAAGCATTAAACTCAATTTATTAGCAACAAAATCTTTATCACATTATAATACTATAAAAATATTAATAAATAAATGTGTTTTTTGTTTAGAATAGTAATAAAACATCTAACCCTATATGACTCAATATATCATTTTCTTTACATTCGTAATATAGTAATTTCCCTTGTGTATGTAGAGAAATGTTAAAGAACAAATAAAATTCGGATCCTAACCGAATTAGAAGAAAACAAATTCTGTCGACCGGAAATGAAAATTAGAAATAAATTTTTGGCGAACTTTCGGCTATAAATCACATCAAGTTTAACAACACCCATGAGAAATCATACAAAAGGAAAAGTAGTTTTTGTTACTTGCATTAATTAAAACACATGTATTTTAACTTTTCCTCTTTGATTTAATGCGAACAAGCTATACGCTAGTATTTTATGCATCAAAAAATTCGATCCTAATGATTACGAGATCAGACAAATAACAGATAAAAACTAACTTTTCACTGTTGTTGTTGTTGTTGTACTTGTTGATGCATTAGCTAGAGCACTTTGTGAATCGCTTTTTGCTAATGTCAAGTTGACTGATGGTTGTTGCGGTTTTGTTGTTAATTTACCAATATTACTCGAAAGCGATGTTAACGCCCATGATGTCCATGATGTTTCATTTGCTATTCCAGTGACATTACTGGAATTAACATCTTTTTCTACATTCAAAGCAAATTGTCTTTTTTTTTTATCTCTGAATAAAACAATTTTTAATTATATCCTACCCATTTCAATTGCTAATTCTGGTTTTTCTGAAACAGTTTCTAATTTTTTAATAAATAAGTTGATTGTTTTAAAAGCCTAAAGAAAAAAAAAGAGTATTGATTACAAATGCTTTAAATTTTGCTTATCAACGTTTTTACTTGCTGTCGAACATCAAGTTCAGGATCAATTGTTGCATGGCAAACTATAGGTAGAATTTTCGTTGCTATGTCTTTCAGTGTAAAAAACCGTTCTGAATGATAAAGAGCATAGATAGACGCTTGTCGAGATGGTCCAAATGGATCTTGTGTACCACGACCAAATGCCGATATAAGTAGACGACCGCGTAACTAATTAAATTAGAAAATTTTACACTTCATTAACGTCCTAAAAATATGTCTTACACTTGGATTAAGATGAGCGGCTATTTTTCCAAGACATACAATTGTATTTGTACGTATCACACCTTGATCGTCACTTGTTTGCAAACGTGAAAAATGTTTCATTAATTCTACATTAAGGTTTTTATAGTTTAATTTCGATGCTAAATACAGCATAGCCTGAAGTAATAAAATAAATTTATTAATTAAATATAGACTTGATTCAAATAATCATGCACTTGTGTTTTAAAAAGGATGTAGTCAACATAATGTGAAGTTTCTATTTTAATGAAGTAAAAGTAGCAGAGGATGATGAAACGAAGCGCGGCTTGCGTATAGATTTCTTGCAGCAAATCAGAAAATTTGCCTCATGCGTGACACTGATTTATAAGAAGGATTAGTTGAAATAAATAAGAAGAGTTATGCGTAATCTTTTTTAATCGTACTCGACTTTAAAGGGAAGTAGAAAAGAATGTTTCCTCACAAAATCTGAATAAAAATTGGACATGAACTAATGAGGGACGGTCTCCAAGTGATACCAACCATTCGGGTTCATGTTGTGCTCATAAGTAGGACCCAGTGAGACTAGAAAAAGCCTAAAGATTTCGTACCATTAAGCGTTTCTTTCAAAGTTATGACCTTGTTACTGAATTCTCGATCTTGGACAAGGAATTTATAGAACGACTAAATGAAGGAATTTCGAACTGAAAATTTTCCTAACAATAGGTCTCATCGATGTTATAAGGTTTTAAAAGTTTCAGTGAAAACGTATGCATCATTCTCAAGATATTGAATATTGAACAGAAGTCAATTTTACGACATTTTTTTGGCAAATGGCCGTTTTCATCAATATGCAGTATCTAAAGAATGATGCATCCGTTTTCACTGAAACTTTTAAAACCTTCTGACATCGATGAGACTTATTGTTAGGAAAATTTTCAGTTCGAAATTCCTTCATTTAGTCGTTCTATAAATTCCTTGTCCAAGATCGAGAATTCAGTAACAGGGTCATAACTTTGAAAGAAACGCTTAATGTCACGAAATCTTTTAGGCTTTTTCTAGTCTCACTTGGTCCTACTAATGAGCACAATATGAACCCGAATGATTGGTGTCACTTGGAGACCTTCCCTCGTTAGGGATATGTCGAAATTACAATTAAAATCAATGACAAGCAAACAATGTAGACTATTATCTTCGATGATAAGACGGAAACATTTTACTTCCTATCTAGATATTTCTACTATTGTTTTGTTTTTCTGATATGTCATTCACTTTTTATTGAATATCAAATGCAATATCTCAATGTCATAAGAAAGTCATTATAAATTAATAATGAAAAAAAGATGACTCCCTCGTGTAGCAAAAAAAACTATGCTCTTATGAAGTAATTAAGAGGAAGATTATATTTAATTCATATGATATATGGATTACTACTGGTCCATTTCAATAGAGATGAGTTATAGCTCATTAAATTTTTACTTAATTACTAGTGCTTGGCGTACCTGGCGTTTTTTAAGCAGTGCAGATGAAATAATTGGATGTTACATTTTCAAGAAAGATAATCGTTCTCTTTTCGAAAGAATATTAACGATAATTTTGCTACAAATTCAATAGGTTTCACTTTGACAACATGCCATCATTGTCTATCATTCGTTTATTTACATGAAAGCATAGTTCTGTTCTCATTTCTATCGCATTCTCCACACAGAAGCGATCTATTGAAACTTGCCTGGTTAAACAGCTGTCGCAATGACACAGACTAGCAAAACTAGAATTAATTTTCGTGGTAAAAATAGCATCGCGAGGCATTAATATTATGAGAATATTCAAATCGACTGTCATGCCAACTGAAACAAATGCATATTCTAAGATTGACATGATGCCTGCTATCAAATAACAATACTGAGTGTTTCACATCTACTGACAGTCCCTTATAGAAAAAAAAGAAACTTTTGTTTTGTAAGTAATCGTGTCTGAAACAATATATATATATCGCTCTTCCAGATAATTCATTTTTACTGGTAGGAACTTATTTTTCACAGTAAATATGCTATTTAAAAATTGTTTCGTTTGAATTAACGTAAATAATGAAGTACGCTACACCGTTCTCTAATCAAGAATGCATGGGAATTTGTGCGGCGTCAATCTTTTCATATACAATCTATTGTCTAATTCAAAAACATACTTTCACAGTTGCTTCTCGAATAGCTGGTTCTTGATCCGTAAAACCAGTACAGATATGTGTAAATATATCATCATTCACAACAGCCGGTGTCAAATGTTCGACATAAATATCTAACTACAATTAGAAGAACTATATTAAATAAAATAGAAAATAAATTTGTTTACCTGTTGTAAAAGACGAAATCGTGTCATGCGATCTGTTGAAGCAAACAATTTGGTTATAATAGGAACAATACGTTTTTTATAGTCACTATCCGACAATCGTTTTCCTAATTTGAATAATGTTGGTAAAACAGCTGAACCCGATGAGCCAAATTCATATGCATTAAATAGCAATGGTAATAATTTACGCTCATTAATGTGTGAAGGAAATTGGTCGACTTTATCTGGTAATGAATTAAAAAATGTTTGCTTCTCTCCCGGATCTTTTAACTAAATAAAAGAAAACAGAATACAATCGATGACGCATTTAAATGGTAAACAGAAAAATCAAACTGACCTGAATTTGTTCAAGAAAGAGAAGACATTCAACCAGAGAATTATTCTCAATATAAGGAGATTGAATTAATTTATCGAAAGACGACCGAAGCGATGGATTAGTGTTTATTAATTCACCATAAGCAGCCGATAATGGCCGTGGTATTGAACCTAACTGACGATAGGATGTAGCGGATGTAGCACCATTACCATTGAATATTTCCCATATCAGAGTTCCAACAAACCAAATATCACGCGCTCTGAAAAGTCCACAGATATAAAATTTAAAAAAAAATTAATAGTAAGGATTATCAAACATTCAAATGATTAAAAGTCTTTCTCTCTAAATGTCATGTGTACTTGATTATATAATCGATACATTGAAATGTTTATCTCATAAGAGATGTGTACAAAATGTAATATAATATGCGAAGAAAACTGATATAGGCGAAGCACAAATCCCCGATTACGCTTATTGATCTACATTACTGCTCGTTTTGATCAAGAAACAAGATATTTGTGACATTTAACTAAAGTTTGCCAGTTTAATCCTAAACATAAACAACTAAATGAACTCTAGCTTATTGACAATAAAAGTGCTATCATTCATATTGCCTAGAAATGTGGTAGAAGAATAGCAGATACAAAAAAAAGAGTATCTGGTATTTTCTTGACATTAGGAATACAATAGGGATTTGAGAATTCTGTATCACAAGTATCCCTAATGATGTATCTAGTTTGCTTGTCTCGGTAATCAACGATAAAAAAAGAACTCGATTATATATATCATCATCATTAAAAATAAACAGACTAAACAGATAGTAAAGGTCTCTACAGGAAGTAAGGATTGCTGCGTCTTTCATGAGTTTAAAGATTCAATGAAATTAGATTCCATGAATGAAGACAATGATTCCTAACTCAAATCAATACATTAAATGAAAAATCATTGAATAATATCTCCACTTACCGTCAAAATAACTTCTTGTAATCGAAAAATACGCGATTCAATCAGAAAACCAAGCGTCTATTTTGATTAATAATTCTGACTGGTTGACAAAACGCATTTATCCACTGTCTACTTGACTTTTTTTCCGAATAAGAGATAATATAATCATAATGTACTGTACTGTTTTGCATTTGCTATCTGCGTGCATTTCATTTACTTAAATTCAACCAATCACAAGCTAATTTGCCTAAATCTGTAACCAGTCGACTGCAATGAATGCTGACGAAGACTAGTTGCTACTACGCCATTTTTTTATGTAAAATTAACCCGCATTAAAAAAAAACTATCTTTATCAATTTCCAAAGATTTATTTATCTTCATATTTACACTTTTTTTAATTAAAAGAGGATACTCTTTCTCAGTATCTGATATAAAAGAATGCTTTAGGCTCATGTGAAAACTCTGGTTTATGGATTATTATTTTTTCTTTTCATAGAAATTAACTCGCTCATGCATTAATACTTATGAAAAATACTCTAACAAGAACGACTAGAAAGTTTTTCCTCTGCACGCCTCTTAAGATTGTTCATATTGTTTTCTTTCATCATTGATAGAACGAATGAAATGATCATGCAAATGATATTGGTCAATAATTTTAGTTAATATAATTGAATAGATGAATTCATGTTCATGGGAAACTTAAAAAAGCTATCTCCTATCTATGATGTTTTAATATACATCTTACAGTAAAGAAATAGCTTAATTTCTATACAAAGTAAGCATCAAGAGAAATAAACAGATGTTTAATCAATTTTGTTTTATGATTTAAGAAGAAAATAATTACTTTTGACTATTTGTTCCTTTTTTCGATGGTCCAGCAGGCGGTTCATAACGTTGACAACTAGGTAAAAATCTTGATGGAAGATTAAGTTGATCTTCACTAATTGATTGGACAAATTCCAAACATCCTAATTTCCAATCACACGATTTAGCATCAACGAATATTGTACTTGTATTAATATTTCCATGTGATAATTTACAATCGTCATGAAGAAAGATTAATACACGCTAAAAGTAATTAAAAAAAACCAATGAAACCTTCTTTCTTTTTCTCTTTCTTACGCATAACTGTTGTAGACCCCAAGCGATTTCAAGTAAGTCTTCAGCATTGAAAGTTGTTGCATTATTATTATTGGATTTTAATTCATTTACATATGTTTCAACTGTTACTGCTTTTTCAGTTACTACATAAACAGCTTTATCTGACTAAAAAAATATATTAATTTATAAATAAAATATTCTATGAGATACTTTTAATAGTCCTACTTCGACACCATCAAGATAAGTGAGAATATTTGGATGTCTTAATGTTTTCATACGCTTCAATGCACCTTTAGCTAAATTGATCTACAGAAGACGTACATTTGTTTTTAATTTATAAATCTAAACTATTCAACTCACATGAGCATCGGTTTGACAGGAGAAAATTGTTACTAAATCTCCTGTCGCCTATAAGAATAATATCCGTGAACGAAAATGAAATTATTACGAATGATTAAGTTACTTTTTTCTTTCCATTTAATATTGTCCAAATTGAACGTGGATTACTTGATGCTTGTTGACTATCAGAAAGAACTTCATATCCAAGTTCCTTTAATGGATCTTTTCCACCAGAAAAAAATGAACCCCACATCTTCTATAAGCAAGAATATTGATAACTTCAACACCTGCCAATTGAGATACTATAACACTTGTTCATGCATTCTTGTTCTTACTTACGATACAACCATACGATACGATGAGGTGTCTTTGTTTCACTGAAATGTGGTTGGATAAAAATAATTTACTAATCATCAATCTATTATGATGATTATTTTAAAAATAATTAACATCACGATTTCATTCAAACAAATATATTTGTATGAAAATCGAACTGTCATTTAATAGATGGCGCTAGTTGTTTACCTCATGATAATAAGAGAATAGAGTAAGTACCGATCTGATCTTAGCGAAATCGACGTTGTGTATGTTTTTTGCGCAAGTATATTTTGATTTAATAAGCAAGTTTGTCTTATAAACAATGATTAATAGGTTTTTTTTTCTTTTTGAATGACATATTTACTAATTGACTATTTCGTTATGTTTTACATGGATTTGTCACGTACGTTCAACGTGAAAATATTCTGTCAACTCTCGAATAGTGGATTTTTGTATAGATAATTAAAAGAACATTTTTATTTCTTGGTATTTCTCAAGATGACATAGAAACATATGCATGCACTCGATAGCTCTTGATAGTTGAAGCAACTGACAATTTGACATGTAGCTTCCCAGGTCGAACAATCATATTGTGAGATCTGATAAGATCTTGTACGATCATTCGAAAATCATACAAAAAAATCGTAGTTCCTGAGATCTTAGATCAAGTCGCACAATCAGATTCTTGAAAGATCTTATTAATGTGTAAGATCTCAGGAACTACAACTTTTTTGTCAGATTCTTGTAAGATTTCACCCATATTCCAAGATCTTGTATGCGTTTCATAAGATCTTGTATCAGATTTTTCGACCTGAGTTCCTAACAACATTTTTAAAGTTTTCGCAATCCTAATGTAGATAGAAGACAGGAAGAAACTCCCGACAGCGTTGCTCACATCTGAGAATATAAATATGAAAAAAAATGAACCCCCTTAGATTTACTTTTTTTATGCCGATTCATACAAAACTCTACACTATTTCACAGATTTGATTGCCAATAGAAAGGAAGAAAACAAATACATAGGTACTTGATATTGTTTGTTTTTTGTGTACTCAAAAAGTGAGTACACTCTAGCTTCGGTCAGTGTATCCGGTCGGCCGTTTACACGATAACTTTCGAAAGGAGAATTAGATCATGATGAAATTTTCTACACAGTTCAGCCTCATCAATGTCTCAGTCGAGTTCGAAGATGAGAAGAATCCGTCAAGAAATGGCTGAGTTATTGAAAAACTTGTCATTTTTTATCAGATCATCACTGAGGAGGAGTACAGAGATTTTTCAAAAAAACTTTTTTTTCTCAGAATTATCCACAAAATATATAAATCGACTCAGTTTTTAACGCTGATTCTAAATCTGATATTAGTTTTGAACTAAGTCGTAGCTTTCTAACGAAACATCGCCTGAAAAACGTCTCAAAATGCACAAAAACTGCATCCAGAAATAAAATTGCCTAGTTTCTCATGATAATTTTCGTGTTCAGACATTCTAGAATGACTCATATGTTCCATGCACTTTTTGAGGTACGCATAACTCTCGGATGAAATCCGCAGTTTCCACATTTATTATGAAAATATGTCTGAGTAGATAATTTTCTGTTTTGAGTATGACATCAGTATTCCAGGTGTAATTTGATAATACTTCTTCAAAATATTCGTCTCTCTAGGAATATGATCGTCATAATAAGATAAAATGTAAAAGATAATGTGTCTCACCAATTACATTCCATAACGTTCACCGCGACTATCCACAACCGTTTTTTACATAGACCTGAAATAAATAAATAAATAATATCAGTCAATTTTATATTTGGTTTTCAAGGATGAGAAATTTGTTTTTTACCCTTCGGTGTCGAACATTGTTGTTGTAATATTTTCCTGGGCTATACTTAAAATGCATTCATCTAATATTACTATAACTTTCTACTCTCTCTCCCTCTATAAGATCCTTGATTAGTCTAATTCTTTATGTTTATCTTTTTATTTAATACCATTTCTTTCGCATCAAGTCCATTATTTCTTCAGTGAGTATCACAAATACGTCTGTTTTTTTTTGACTGAGATGCTAAATGAACTAGATGGTACACAAGTTTCACTCGAATACGAATGCGAAGCTCGAATCGGATCTGCACGAAAAATTTTCAATTCAGAGAAATCTTGAATACTTTTTATGTCGACATGAAGAAATTCATCACTGAGAAAACTCTCTTCTTACTTAGCGATACATTCTTAAGGATCGATTTCGATTGATTGATTAATTCTCTTCATGATTCATTATCTTAGATCAACTGTAAATGAATAGAGTATAATGAATAACATGTGTTGATGACGTCACTTTAATTATCTCGCGATAATTTCTTTCATTTTCGTCATTTTGGAACCACATTTCTGAGAGAACGGAACTTCAGTTAAAAGATTCGAAAACAGATGTTCTTAGTTCGATCTTGATACTTCNAAAAAACTCGCGACGGACTACAGAAATGCTTCTGCTTCGCATCGCATTAATAAAAAAAAAAACTCGCGACCGCCTACATAAATGCTTCTGCTTCGCATCGCATTAAAAACAAAAAAACTCGCGATGGACTACATAAATGCAGTGCTTCGCACCGCATTAATTATTATATGAGCTGTGTAGAAGATGCAGCTAAATGTATCATGTTCATGATAATAATGACTATTTGTGATAATGAATTCTGTAAAAATATGCTGCAATAATTGTTGTACAAAATACATGCGTACACTTATGAATATACATTAAAAAGTGCTGAATGCATGTATTGGTCTTATCCTTTCATGATGATGTGTTTATAAGATGTAAAATATCAACACGTCGTTGCATTGTTCATTTTGATACCTATATTAGTTTGTTTCATTTGCGCAATAATTATGACCGATCGAAAGTTTTGATATCATAAAATAAAAAAATGTAAGTTTAAAAAGTAAATGCTTATTTTTTACTTAATGACATGCCCAAAATGATTAGTAACATGTTTGTTACAAAGTTTAGCTATTTATGTTTGATTGCTTTTTTTAAATATTTATGGAGAATTTGAGAAAGATTATGTCAGTTACTTTTCATTTTGTTGGTAATTAGGTACGAAAATATTTTAGATAAATTGATTTCCAATCTCTTAATATTAGTTATATTGCTGAAGATAGATGACCGAAGACTGTTCTTCAACGAGATATTTTTCAACTGAAACCTGGTATAAAGAAGGCAAAGAAAAGATGTCGCATTGAATAACTGTTTATACACGAAGAAAGAAAGATTCCAAATTTGAAAATAAAATAAAAGACTAGATAAAATGTTTCATTTGGACGAAAACTTTACTTTATAAAACTAATTTTGAGTAGTAATAGAAAAATATTTCTAAAATACATATATATATACATGTTTTTGGTTTGGCTGGCTATTTTGAATGATGATTTTTTTTCTTTTAATTGATGTTAGATCTGGTTTCGCAGCAGCCTTAAAGCATTTTATAGGAATATATAGGAAACATTATTCTCAAATATATAGGATCGTTCTCGCTTATACAGTAAACCCCCCTCACAATAAAAGACCCCTGATCTTCTATTATGTTCTAGCGTAAAAATTTTCCAGGGGGTCTTGTATTAAGAACCGCTTTTTTTCCTAATATTTAATTTAAAAGATTTTCCAGAAATCTAAGGTGATTTTCAGGATCTCCATCAGGATTTTCAGGGCTTTAAGGGTGTCATTATAATTGTGAGTACATTCTCTTGAAAATTTCCAGCTTAAAATGCTAAAAACCAGGCATATTTTGATGAAAAGACGCTAATTAAAGTTCGTAATTAGGAAAAATTTAATTAATTAAAGGGAGTCTTCTAATATGGGGGGGTTACGCTAGTTTCTCCTACAAAAAACATTTATACAGCATTGTAGATGATAGTGTTTTTTAACATACAAAGACTGATATAAATAAAAATATCATTGAACTGTAAAATAATTCGATAGCAGTAGTCTCTACAGAAATAGCAAAAACAAGTTCGTTTTGGATCTATTTTCAACTGTTTTGCACATACATGCCATATGAATGGTACAGGATTAAATCGAAAATAGATTATTGAAAAAACTTATTTATAGCCTAAAGAAAACAAACGATATTTTTTATCACTACTATTCTATTACTGTTTACATGAAATGCATATAAACGTTATTATCTTCTTCCCTTACTTTAGCCATTTATTTACATTAATACCTTCAGCATCTATTTTGCTCAGCCAGTTTTGATTGGACTTAGTATATTTTGGTATTAATATATGAAGATAATCAATAAAATTAGGGAAATCAACTGAAAAGTTTTTGAATTATTTTTCAATAACAGGTGAACTCCAAAACGATAAAGAAAGAATGGTGACAAATGAAGAATGTAATTGTTGGCTATATTTTCCAACAGTAGATTCACACGCCTATCTTTCAAAGTAACTATATAGAAAGACAATAAATGCAGCGTATATGCATTTTCTCGATGAACTAAGAGAAAGCAATCACCATCGCATATATATTGTCGCCCACATCTGTATGATGTTATAAACGCTATACTGACAAAATAAAAACAACATTGTAACAATCCAACCGAACTTGTTATGTGTTGCTTGTTCTTAACTGAAATAGCTGTGATGCGCTCTTCTAATTGTTATTCATCAAAAGTTCTGTAGACTTAGATCTTTTCTTCTCCTATTCACACTTCGAACGTGCACTACCCAAGTCGAAAAATCTGACGTAAGATCTTACAATCCGAACGAAATCTTATAACCATCAGGCAAAAGATCGTCGTATCTCAAATCTTGCATCAAACCATACCATATTTTCTTTAAAGATCGCACATGCAATTTATTTTCAATACAAGTTTGTCGTGATATTTTAAGGAGATATTAATATAGTTAAAATATCACAGTGATATTTCTATAGGTAACAGAACCTTTCAAGAATCGTTCAAGAATCTTCTGATACGACTTAGTGTAAGATATCAGAGACGACGATTTTCAGTCTGATTTCTCGCCTTGGGCATCAATGCACCCTTCACTAATACATAGTTTACAATCACTACGGTCTTTTATGTTCGTGCAGTGGGAAATTGCATTCTTCATATGCCATTTTCAACAAGCGCGTTATTAATTGTATCATTTAGATTTGTCCTTTCCCCTCATATTGTTTACACTGTATTAATCAAAATCCATCTGTACCACAAAATGGTATATAAGGAACTAGAAAAATACAGTACAGGACGATTCTTGGTAGATCAATAAAGTATTAGTTAAGTAACGCTTTATACAACGTCTACTACATCAGAAATCGTCACAAACATATTAGATACTTAGTTGAAGAATATGTCGCAAGAAAAACTAAACTGGCAATGTTAAATTGCAAATTTTCCTAAATTTTCTAAGAGAATTTAAAATTTTTTAAAATTTTGATTTATCCAGTAACAAATACATGACTCTTTCGCAAGTAGGGGTGTTACTTTATCTTTATTGATCTTTATATTAAAGAATAAAGATAAATAAAACCTTTATATTTATAATATAAAGATGAATGAAATCTTTATATTTATAAAATAAAGATAAATATAATCTTTATTTGTAAAAATAAAGTTAAAATAAAGAAAAAAGAAAGATTTTCTGCATTCACTGGTAAATAGATAAATAATTTGTATAACAACAGAAAACATTGATTGTAGCTCTTGCTTATCATCACTGACATTGCAGTATGAAATAATACTAGCAAATGAGGGTGAGACATAAATCATTTATGGAAAAAAATCTAGTGTTCAAAATTTTCTTCGAGCTATCCGGAGAAGACCAAATTTTGGGTTTTTAAGGGAAAATATTTTTCTTTATTCTTCACTTTATCGTTATTAAATAAAGATAAAGCTACTTTTTCTTTTTCTTTATTTTATAAAGATAAAGGTTATCGTTATCTTTACTTTATAAATATAAATATTTTATTTATCTTTATTTTTTAAAGAATAAAGATTTCATAAATTCTTTATTCTTTATTTTTTAAATATAAAGGTTTTATTTATCTTTAAAAAGTAAAGTAAATATAAAGTAACACCCCTATTCACAAGAATCTTCAATTTTTCGAAAAATATAGGAATATAGCGAAAAAAAGCTCAAAATATAGTCTATTATAGGATTAGTTTGAAAAATATAGAAAATATAGGCCAATTACGATGCCAGTATTAGATTTAAGAGATTTTATATTAATCAATGAGTTACACACTTCGAACAATTGAAAAGCTTATCTTCAATCGAACGAAATTCTCATAAAAAAAGATGATACATTGTTCTTTTAGAGATTTGAGTTTTCGAATCAATCGATAAATACTCAAATAAAAAAAAACCTCTAATACAGAAACATTTACTACGTAAAATATTTAACAGATGTAAATGGAACCAAACGTAATAATTGTTTAAGAGATATTGAATCTATTTTGAAACAACACAATAACATGATTAAACACTCATTAAGTTTTCATTTCATCTTGTTCTCTCTACTATTTTTGTCGTATTTCTAGACGGACGTTGTACACGCGAAGACAAGTTCATTCATATATCGAGTGACCCAGATTAAATGTCCCTCTCAATGTTTTTTCAATAACTTCATCATTTCATTTTCTAGGCCTTAGTTTTTCCCCAGAAGATTTGCCATTCAATTCTCTACAAAATTGATATTACAATTTTTTCTGTTGAAAGTTGACGAAAAAATTAAAAAATAGAATCTTCAACAGGTATAACAACATCAACTTTCAAAGTGATTGTTAAAACAAACTTTTGCAAATTTTTTGCAATGGCACACAAAACGAAACAGCAGCAAAAATGTTACTGTGTATCTTGAAGTGTACTTTTTCTTGTCGTGTAGCTCAGAACTCGTTGAAATCAAATTGAAGATCGAAAAATCTGACTTTTTAAAAATTCTCTTCAAAATAGCTTAAATCAGATATTTGGCGTTAGCTAAATTAAAGAAAAAAAAATTCTAATTCAAATTTCACGTTTGACTTTCTACAGTAGGCCATTTCGATCAAAATGGAAAAAAGCGAATGCAAAAATGATATTTTGACTGCGTTTCTTTGTCTATGAGTATCGAAATTGCAGGTTGAAAGAGCTAAATTCTCGCAAATCTGAAAGAAAAGATACTAGAGAGCGCATACAAGGTTGGATGTGGAAACTTCTCAATTATGATCGGAAGATAGAGCTTTTCAAAGGCCACAAAATAGCTACATTGTTTAATTTTTTGTCGTCACTGCCCAACGAAAAAATCCGCAAAAACTATTTTCCAGCTTTGAAAGTTGATGCTGTTGTACTTGTTGAATATTCTTTTTTTAATTTTTTTCCTTAACTTTCAACAGAAAAAATTGTAGTATCAATCTTATAGAGAATTGGATAGTGAATCTTTTGGAAAAGAACTAAGACCTAAAAGATGAAAATGATGAAATTATTGAAAAAATACTGAAAGGGACATTTAACCTGGACCACCCGATATCACACAGGCAAACATCAGGTAAATAGATGAAAGATGCTGACAAAGATAAACTATTACAGGCGTTGTTTAAAATTATACAATATATTAAAAATTCTTTAATCGCATCCTTAAACTTTCCAAAGAAATTAGAGATCCACTAACGTGAGTTGCATATTTTGAATAAAAACAAAATATTTAAATTGAAAAGACTAATTTAAGTTGAATAGACAGAATAAAACTTTTTTCTTTCATCTAGCGTCAACTGGATCGTATCAATAAAATGAAATGTTACGTTGCTTTTAAATATCAGTTTCGATGATGATGTTATTCAAATCATTATATTTACTGTTTAACTTAATCAAAACAACTTAAATAAACATGCTAACTTCAATACGATAGATATACATATATAATTACAGGGCGTTCCACGAGTTCTTTCGAAAAAGAGAATTCACTATCTCCACGACTCTTTCATCAAATGATATGCACAGTTATCATCGATTGTTGAACACTTAATTGAATAAATCGATCGGCCACTAATATTTGCTATAACTCACAGTCTAATTATAAATGATTAGCTTAAAATAGATCCAATCGTATATAATATCATCTTATGCACTTATTTTCTTTACGATTATTATTAACAATAGAAAAATTAATGCAACATTGCTGAAAATTTTCTAGAATTAACAACAACAAACTTTATCGAACCTGGCTCGCCGATCAGATGGGTAAACAAATTCAACGGGAGTGAATAGGTGCTTGATGGATTTTCTACCATTATAGAACCAGAAATAGCAGAAATGGTTGTTATCAGTGCCTGAAGAAAAGATGTTTTTTCACAAGATAAATTGCCGTATTGCTCAATCATGCCAATAAGACCCGGACATTCTAAAGTTGATAAAGTTTCAACAACATCGAGAGAGTCCTTCGTTGACAATTTGACGATATTAGATGCCAATTGTGCTTTGCAATCATCAATGCATACACCAGTAGTAGAAGGCATATTTGTTGAATTGATCTAAATAGAAGATACCATTCAATGGACTTTCTATAGAATAATGTAGAACGAATTAGAACAGTAATTTGAATGAAGCCAAATCGTTTGTATAGGCATTGAATATTTTTGTAAGTGTAGAAATAGAACCTTTCGCTCTGCACTATTTTTTTTTCAATGTGATATTCAGAAGATATTGCTTATGTGAATTGCATTATGTTATATCGCTATATTGTTAAAAGAAAAACTATTTGGCTATAAGGAAAACACTGTGAAATGAAAAGAATAATTACAGATAACCAGGAAATATGATTCATTCGGTGCGTACACTAGAAAACTTCTACATCGAATTCGCAACTATTGTCAACTTCAAAATTCATATCTACTTAAGGCAAATTTTAGAATTTTTGCTGCACGTGTGTGCCCACATACATCTTTCAATACATCTTCATTTTTTTCACTTTAAAAAAGCGTTGCAAAATGATCCACTATCAACAAGCTGATACGTTTCTGTCGACTTTTCATAACCTATTATTATTACATGAGTAACCACTTATACTTCATCATACAATAAAGTAGTCACCTAACTAGAAACGATTGAATGGTTGTGTACTATTCTAACATTGGCAAAAGGCAGGTTTGATATAGACTGATTACTACGCCATTAAAGAGTAAAATATGCTGATAGCGTGTTTTTGTTTTGGTGAAAACGATTGCGTATTCATTCCATTTATTTTCAACCACTACTGATAATTATTTACTATGAATTGGAATGTTCAATAGTATTGAACATTCAGGTGGAACAATGCTAACGTCTAAGTTTACACTTTCAGTAGAGGTATTGTTTGTGTCTAGCTTTCAACAAAAAATTAAGAATATTTATGATTCCGCTTATATCTAATTAGCCCATAGTCCATTTCGTTCCTGATCGTTTACAGAACTGAAATGACATCAAGTATAACTAAATCACTGAAAAAATTTTCTTTGAACATCAATATTTCTATCGAGCTCGTCTAGCGCGTACTTTACCATCAATTTTTATAGCTATTGTTTGCGTGTGTGTACATAAAACAGCATTCTAATTTTAAGATGTGCTAGAATTGTTTACGAACATTTTGATTTTTCTATCAAAAATTTTATTCGTTCAAATATTACGAATATATAAAATACGATTAGATATGATTCTCAATAATGAAAGAAGTTAGAAGTAAAATTTGAACATTTGGCAAATGGAGTATTTAAGGCAACAAGTAAATTTTACTTTCTATATTTGGTAAAAAAAAACATACTGCAAAAAATAGACATGCTAATAACAAAAGAAAAATCTTATTTCATCGAATATTCTAGCGATACGCACATATATTACCATTGTGAATACAACGATATATTATCTTTATTTTTTATTTAAAAATGAATTCGATTTAGCTATATAGAAATTTTCAGAATACCTGACATGTCTACAGAACTGTATGTCTAGCTTGATTTCATTTCACATATGGAGTATACGTATTGTTCAATGGAATTATTTGATAGATAAAGCTACATAAGCGAGAAAGTCTCTTTGACATGAATAATCAGCCTTTTATTCTTCCATCAATATACCTTTTGAAAAACATAGTGCTTTTCCCAATTACTAGAAGCCTCAGTAGTTTATTATAATACGATGCTATCATTTAATTAGAAGACATTTCAAAATCTTTTGCATTGTAAGATTAGAAGTCCACTTTTAAATAATAATCCTCAACTTACTAATTTATTATTTGTAAAAATACTTGTTGTTCGAGAAAATGCAGAAGTAGATATTGATATTTAATAATCTAAAACACAAATGGAATCTTTTTTGAAAAATCTTCGTAAACAAAAAGATTCAATTATAGTTCAAAACAAAACCTTCTTTAAGTTACTTTTCTTGATAGATATCAATTTGAGAATAAATTTCAAAACAAGAACAATAGTAGGTTCAAATTTCATTTTAAATTTAGTTTAATAGATGCTCGTATTATTTATCCCTAAATTTATTTTATTTATCAACTAAAATATTTGCAACAAAAAAGTAAACATTTCGACAAAGAACTATGTAGTCATTGTCATAACATATTACGTATATGATTCACACCAACTAACTACACATAGCAGAACGAAAAGGTTGAGATAAGCTACATACAATTCGTAAATACACGAGCGCTATCAACAACATGAATTATGTTAACACTGCTGCCAGTGTATGTAGAAATTGTACGTAGCTTATCTCGACCGTCGAAATGACCAATACATAAAAGATGTTTGCTTAATTTCTTTTCGTTCTGTAATTCATCTTTTATATGAATCATATAACATACGTCTGGAAAACGGCAAGTTATCTATCGAAAACTTCCGTAATAACCAATCTAAAAACTTTTATTAATCTAAAATTTAACAGAAAATTCAAAACAACTATAACTGTTTTAAGATATACATTATCGTCTTTGTTTACGAATAATACACTAATGAAGAGTGAAAAACGCCTCCTAATGCAAACGCGATA